TTCTCCAGCAACTCCATCCGGCTTCAGTGCGGAGAGGACAGCTGTTACCGCTGCAAATGGCGAGCGAGACAGCCCGCGCGCCGGCGCCCGTCGAACCCAGCGGGGCTTGCAACTGGCGCTGCGCTGAGCACAGCGAACGCCTGGCTGAGCTCTTCTGTCGCCGCTGCAGCCGTTGCGTGTGCGCGCTGTGTCCGGTGCTGGGTGCCCACCGCGGCCACCCCGTGGGCCTGGCTCAGGAGGAGGCTGCGAGCGTGCAGGTGGGAAGATGAGGGGCGTTCATCGCAGGTCTGGGCGGGCGGAGATTGCTCATAGGAGTAACAAGAGAAATAACCGACGAAGGAACGCCAGCCCAGGTCTCACTGACAGATCACGTTAGGAGCTGGAACTTAAGGGGGCCCTGAGGTCCCCTAGGTGGTAGACCTAAGTTTCAGAGACAGAACCCCGTGGAAGGGCAAAGGTAGCCCGAGCCACCAGTGAAAGAATGGTTGGGGGTACTGAGAGACTCAGGCTGACCCTCAGTTGTCTTTTACCGCTTGTGCAGGCTTAACGAAAACCTGAGGTTTAGTGAACACAGCCTAGGGCTCAAGGGACGCTCACCTAACACCCCGCACCAGGGAACATGAGGCAGGGAACAGTTTAAGGCCAGCCTGTGCTACATAGAAAGACTGTGTCAAAAGACCGGATTGGAGCCGTGGGTGTAGAAAACGAAAATGTTCCAGTGTGCTTCGCGAGGCCTATGAACGCCTCTGAACCGGAGTCCATAAAAGGCTATTCTCATCTGGGGCCTGAAGGCCTGTATTGTTTTGCAAAGTCAATAAGGCCATCTTCCTGTCTTGAATTGGGCTCCTGCTCCTATGCAAATACACCATTGCCCCCCAGCAGCCAGGTGTTGTCACAGTCTTAGTCCTGCTTACTGGTTGTCTACCAGGCAGGCCTGGCTCTTGAGAACCCGAAGGCAAGTGAGGCAGAACCTTCTGTCTCCACAAAGCTGATTTTATTATTTCTATCTCCAAGGGGTCTTTTGAACTGTGCCTGGCAGTAACTTACTTTATACTCTCCCTTGACTTCAGGCCTGGTGAAGGACAGTGTGGTTAGTGGAACCCTGAGTTCATAAGAAGTGTGCCCCTGCTTTTTGGTACCCGTGAATGATCCTCAGATGCTGCTACTTCGAAATCCAAGGCTATTTTCCAGAGATGTGGCCCAAGTGTCTCCCTCAGTTGTCCATCTTGGGGTTCATCTCACCGATGCACACACATGTGCACCCTCACTAATTCCTCTACCCATTTACAGAGCCATTCACCCATTGGGCAAAACACTTTGTGCCATGAGCGGAGTCATAGGTCAGATCCTCCCCTTACCTGGTTGTATTGCCTGGCTGGTTGGGGAGGCCTGCAACAATGCCATGTGGTAAATACCATAGTAGGGAGTCCAAGGTGGTGGTCAGGGAGAGCCAGAAAAGAAGATGGAACTTGAGGCAAGAAGCCAAGGATGCCTACCCCAGGGAGGCGCCATTGGACATGGCCTGGAAGGATAAGTAAGATTTCCTGAGATCCCAAGACGAAGAATTCCTGTGGCTGGAAGTGGAGGGTTCAAACCAGAAGGCAGGGGTTCCCTTGAGCCACTTCAGGCAGTAGGTGGCTTAGGTGTCACAGAAGATGAGCATGCAGAAGCTAGGACCAAGGCTAACCCCCTTCCCTGCCCCCAGTTCCCTCTGCCAGTAAAGGCATTCACCACTGCAGTGAAGGCTTGTTGGGTGTTAAAGTGGCAAAAGGACTTGTACCTAGCATGTGCAGGCACTAGAACCTCATTTGGAGTCCACGACATCCCCTTTGCAGTGAAGGAAATGGATTTTGGGCACACGGCTGCAGAGCTAGGGCCATGACCCAGCTTTGTTCCTACTCTAGAGCCCCACACTCCTGCCAGCTTCCTCGGGCTTCCAGCTCTCCCCTGGAAGTTGCCATGCCCTCGCAGTCCTGGTTGATTCAGGGTCTAGACTCCCACCCCTGTTCCTGTGTTAAGCCCAGGTGGCAAGTGGAAGACCAGTTGTAAGGAAGGCTAAGATGGAGAATGGCCACCCTTGGAGGCAGAAGGCCTAAAGCAGGTATTTAGAAAAACAGCACCTCCTAAAAGCAGACACATAGAAAGTAGGAGACAGACATCCAGGCTGGCGGGAGGCTTGGAGGGCCAGAATCTGCTCACTGCCTACCTAGCCACGTGACTGGGCAAGCTGCCCACTTTCAGAGCCTGGGTATCTCTGCTGAAAAAGAATCCAGTGGTGGGTGAGTGAAGTGGCTCAGCAGGCAACAGCACCTGCTGCCAAGCCTGACGACCTGGGTTCAATCCCTGAGGCCCACAAGGAAAGACAGAAGGGAAAGACTCTGCAAATCGTCCTCTGACCTCCACATGTGCACTGTGGCACCAGTGCCCTGAGTCCCCACCCTGTAGATAAATAAAATTCGATTAAGAAAAACATAATAAAGGGGAAAAGAAGGATGAAAGCTTGAAAGTGACCATTTCTTCCTTTCTTTCCTGACCCCCACCACAGAAACTCATCGGGGACTGTTTAGAGTGTTTGGTGACCAAGAAGAAACAGCATGCTGACAACATAGCCCACTTGGAAGGCAGCGGGGAAAGGCTCAAGGCAAGTGTACCCGTCTTCCCTTCTCCGTGCAGATATTTCCCCCAGGACTCGGTATCCCTGGTGTGGAGCCCCAGAAAAACAAGGACTGACCTCAAAACAGGTGTCAGGGCTGGTGGGGCTTAGGTGCTGACATGGGGTCCTCTTTGAAAGAATGTGAAATTACGAATCTCAGTACATGATCAGGCAGGAAGCAGGTGTGCAGGTGAGTGGTCCTGAAGGTCTGCTTTACCAGCTTTGTGTTGACTCAGCCTCTGCCCCGCCCTTCCCCAGGCAGCAGACTAGCATCCTCACTTCACCAAGCCCACCGGGGCTCAATCTTTCCTTGCCAAGAGAGCAGAGGGACTGGCCCTCCATCCTCCCACACCCCAAACTGCCCTAAGGAAAGTAGAGTATCTCCCAGAAGAGGCAAACCATTCTTAAGGGTTTTGGCCATGAGAAATTGAGTCCAAATATAGCCCATAGATACACACTTTGTTTGTTTGGTTTTTTGAGACAGGGTTTCTCTGTGTACCCCTGGCTGTCCTGGAACTCTGTAGACCAGGCTGGCCTCAAACTCAGAGATATGCCTGCCTCTGACTCCCAAGTACTGGGATTAAGGGTGTACACCACCACCACTTGGTACAATGTTGTTTCTTTCTTTTACTATGGTTCTACAGATAGAACCCAGGGCTAGGCAGGTGTATTTCTACGTAGCTATACATCTTGACTTTATTTGAGGGGCAGGGTATGTTTGAAAATATGAATTTTTTATTAAAATTGGAGCCTCTGCAAAATCTCTTTTAGAAAACCATTTTATTATTGACATACATGAATTATACATGATGATGGGACTCCTAGGTTTTCAGACATGTATAGAATGTATTTTGATCATATTCACCCCATTTTCCTCCCTTGTCCCCCTCCCACTGATTCCCAATAAGCGATCCTGTGTATTTGTGGGTACCAACAAGTTGAGATTACATAAAGGAACATGAGGGATGGGTTATTTACAGGAGCATGGGAAACATTTCTGTTTTGAGACAGGGTCTTATTAAGCTAACCAAACTGGCCTCGAACTTAATCTATCTCAGGCTGACATTGAACTCATGAGCCTCCTGCATTGGCCTCTCGAGTATTTGAAAGGCCTTAACCACAAGGATCGATCGATTGACTGACTGAGAAGAGGTCTCCACTACACAGGCCAGGATTTCTTCAAACTCACAATTCTCCTGCCTCAGCCTTCTGTGTGTGGAACTGGCTCCCCAGTTCCCAGCATCCAATATCAGTCAGGGGGCTGCATGTTCTAGGGATCTGCACAGGTCACATCGGTGGCCCTAGCTTAATTATTAGTAGTGACTCTCCCTCAAGTCTTCAAGACTTGACTGAGACTTGCTCTCGTCTTCAAGAGCAAGACTGGCCAGGCAGGTGCACACCTGCAGTCCCAGCATTTGGAAGTCAGGAGCCCTGCTGAGAGTTGCCCTCTGACAACACACATATGTCCTCACACACACCACACACATGCAGCAATAGTAAATAAAATGGAATTTTAAAAAAAGCTAGGCTCTGGGCTCAAAAAGATAAATCATTTCAAAAGGACCTGGCAAGTGAACATAGAAAACTGTTCCCCAGGCAACAGCAGCGGGCAGGAGAGTCAGATGGAGGAGAGTTGCAAGTGTCAGCAACTCTTTTTTCTCTAATTTCCCCCCCCTTTTTTTTGTGTGTGTGTGTGTCAGCAATTCTTAAACATTTTGCTTTGAAACAATTCTAGAGACACAGGAAGCTACAAAGACCCTGTGGAGAAATATCCTGTTCCTTCACTTGAGTGGCTGAGGGTTATTTCTATGACACAAAACTGGCCTTCAGCACCAAGCACAGAATCTGATAGTGTCTGTGTCAGCCCAGCACGTGGGGTCTACATGAAGAGCAGTTTTTTTTTTAATTATGATTATTATTTATGTGTATTTGTGTGTGTCTGTGAACCATGTGTCTAAGTGGTTAGGGTTAATATAGCTGATAATAGATCTTGAACTAACATAGCAGTCAAACTCTGTATGTTTTTAATTTATTTTTATTTGTGTGTATGTGTCTTTGTCTTTGTGTCTGCCACCTGTATTTGGGTGCCCATGAAGTCCACAATAGGGCATTAGATCGCTTGGAGCTGAAATTACAAGTGGTTGTGAGCTACAGGATATGGGTGCTAGGATCCATGGTCAGGACTTCGAGAGCAGCACTCTACCACTGAACTATGTCCCCAGCTCTTACCAGTTTTTACGTGAGATGGGACAAGCATTCTGTTGAACACTGGCAGTTGTCAACAGTGGCAGATGGGCTACTCTGGATTTAGAGGCCTAACTTAGGAAAGTTAGTTAGTATGGAAACTAACCCATGGGGCTTTGTAAATAGACCAATAAAGTTCAGGTAGTCCAAAGTCTGTTATTCAGAAGCCAGTGACCTGGCCAATCACCACCCCTTTCCAGGGGACAGTCAAAGTTGCATTATCATTCTCCAGCCCACACCCTCTAAGGCTGTGTGTTTCCTAGCTGTGGTTCTCCAGGAGCTCAGGGCATTCATGTGGCAGGGGTAACCTGCCTAGATGCAGCCTAAATGTTTCCTCTGACTAGACAACACAACAACACCGTTCACTCTGAACCTCCCACATTTTGTGCAGTGAAGTTTATTTGTTGTTTGAGGATAGGGTTTTACCAGCCGGTGTCTTCCAGGTTGCCCCATATATATGTGTACACATGTATGCATGTGATCAGGGGGCCAGAGGTCAACTTCAAGTGTCTTTTTTTTTTTTTTAAGATTTTGCTTATCAGCCAGGTGGTGGTGGCGAATGACTTTAATCCCAGCACTCGGGAGGCAGAGGCAGGTGGACCTCTGTGAGTTCAAGACCAGTCTGGTCTACAAGAGCTAGTTCCAGGACAGCCTCCAAAGTCACAGAGAAACATTGTCATGAAAAAAACAAAAAACAAAAATAAACAAACAAAAAGATTTGTTCAACAACTGGCAGTGATGTCCCATGCCTTTGATCCCAGCACTTGGGACAGCCAGGACTGTAACACAGAAAAACCCGGACTCAAAAAACCCAAAAAGCAAAAACAAAGATTTTATTATGTAAACAGTGTTCTGTCTGCAGGCCAAGAGAGGGCATCAGATCTCATTACAGATGGTTGAGAGCCACCATGTGGTCTCTGGGAATTGAACTCAGGACCTCAAGTGTCTTCCTCAGTCACTCTCCTTAGTTTTTCAGACAGGCTTTCTCCCACTGAACCCAGAACTCCCGGCTTCAGCCAGAGTGACTGGTCTTGGAGTTCCAGAGCTCCAGTGGCCTGTCTTTCTCCACCTCCCAGTACTGACTGGGATTATAGGTGCAATCTGCCATCCCCTACTTTTTAAAAAATTCATCTTTATTTTATGTGTATGAGTATTTTGCCTTCATGTATGTAGGTGCACCACATGTGTGCAGTGCCCATGCAGGCCAGAGGAGGGCATTAGATCTCCTGGAGATGGCATTAACAGACACTTGTGAGCCACCTCGTGGGTGCTGGGAACCAAACCCAGGTCCTCTGCAAGAGCAGCCAGTGTTCCTAGCTGCTGAGTTGTCTCTCCAGCCCACACCCAGCTTTTTTATGTTGGTCCTGGGAATCTGAACTCAGGCTCTCATGCTTGAGCAGCAAGTATTTAATTCACTGGACCATCTCCCCAACCCCTCTACTTTCTTTGATTAAGCAGTTTTTATTAATTTGGGGTGTGTGTGTGTGTGTGTGTGTGTGTGTGTGTGTGTGTGTGTGTAAATGTATGTGTGACCTCATATGTTACGATAAATCTTTCTGCCAAAAGCCGCCGAGCCCCACCACGTAGATGGACAAAATAATGCACAGACTTATATTAGGTACAATGCTACTTGGCCAATGACTAGGATTCTCATCTGTTGGCTCAGTCTCAATTATCATACATCTATATATTTTATAAGACTTATCTTATCGGACACCTTATTGGCGTCCCTCCTTGCCGGTGGATCACATCCCACAGCTGGAGGAGGAAAAGGAAAAAGGGACACTCCTATTTCTCCTTGCTCAAATATGCGTCTCCTTGCTATGTCACTTCCGGCCTGGATCACCACTTCTCTACTACATTTCCCAGAATCCTCTTTGACGCCTAGTCCTGCCTAACTTGTTGTTTCATTGGCCAAACAGAACTTTATTAAACAATCAATAAGATAAACATACACAGAAGTACTTCCCCCATCACTCATATATGAAGGTCAGCGGGCTACTTTCAGGAGTTGGGTCTCTCCTTCCACCATGTAGGTCCCAGGGATTGCATTCAGGTTGGCAGGCTTGGTGGCAATCACCTTTACTCATTGAGCCACCATCAACTCTTGCTTAAGCTATTTGTTGTTGTTTTGTTTTGTTTTTTGTTTTGTTTTTTCAAGACAGGATTTCTTGGTGTAGCCTTGGCTGTTCTAAAACTCAGTCTGTAGATCAGACTGGCCTGGAACTCACAGAGATCCCTCCGCCTCTGCCTCTGCCTCTGCCTCTGCCTCCCAAGTGCTGGCATTAAAGGTATGTGCCATCACTTCTCCGCATATTTGGATAGTTTTATAAATGGGTGGAAAAGTAGGAGGGGAGAGAAAGAGTAGGAGAGAGAGGGCATCTGTGTGGATGAAGACTGTTTATTGACTATTGAAGCAAACACAATAAAGGAATTTAAAATGTGCAGTCTATTAGCACTGAAAGGCACATAAGAGATGCATGTCTAAGTCCAGACTACAAGAGAAGCTGAGGCAGGAGGATCACTTGAGCCATGGAGTTCAAGCCAGCCTAGGCAATGGTGAGACTCATCTCAAAAAGAAAATAAAAAAAGATAGCTCCAATAAACAAACAAACAAAAAACACCCAAAAAGCAAAGCAAACAAGAACAGTCCTTCAAGACGGCCTCTGTATAGCTGATCAAGCACTTGGGCTGAGATATGCACCAGTTGGTTGAATGCTTGCCTGGTATGCAGAGACCCCTCA